GTTCCATGACAGCCTCGGTGAACGCCACAGCCTGTCTCTGCCGTGATCGGCCTCTATCCCACGGGGTTGCTGATTGCCTCGCTCTCTGCTTCAACAGGCCTCTGCACGACACGGTGTGTGGCCGACCGTGTGTCTGCCCGCCTTGGTCTCTGCCTTACGTGGTGAATCCCACACCTGGGCTGTTGAGAGTCTGCACGTTAGAGGCCGTGTGAGGCACCGACCGCGTTCGTCAGAGACACAGTACAAAGAGACAGACTGACAGAGACCGGTTCTGCTAGGTATGAGGTGGGGATATTTTTGAAAATTTCGAAAATTATCGAAAAATCAAAAAATGCTGGAAATCACAAAAAAACGCGCTAAAACATACAATTTTTGAAAAATTACACATTCAAATTTTTTTTCGAATTTTTCAAAAAATTTTGGTTTTGTGCGCTTTTCAGACATTTTCCAACATTTTTTGATTTTTCGAAAATTTTCAATTTTTTTCAAAACTCAAACGAGGAGTTGCATGACAGCCTCGGTGAATGCCACTGCCTGTCTCTGCCGTGATCGGCCTCTATCCCACGGGGTTGCTGATTGCCTCGCTCTCTGCTTCAAAAGGCCTCTGCACGACTCGGTATGTGGCCGACCGTGTGCCATCCGCCGGTCGCAGTCTCATTCGGTCTCTGCCGTACTAGGTACAGTCCGCAGATCACGAGATAAACCCTGGTAGGAGTGCGATATACGCGCATGCGCAAGTTTTCGCGGTAAGTGACGAGCTGCTACTAGCCAACCTAAAAGCATTCGTTCCACAACGACTGAAGGAACAACAGAGAAAAGGCTTTCATTAGTTCTAATGAGTATAGATTTAAAATTACCTCACAGTACTCGGAGTCAGAAAAGTCAGTTGCTTCTCCAGACTCAAAATCTTGACAAGAAGTCTCTTCGTCATCGCTACTGTCATTTGGATTGGCAATAATTTGTAAGTCGATCACGTCAGCAACAACCCAGTCCCATTTCCAGTATTGTTGTTCCACATGTTGGCAGTATCCTTCCCAATTCTTTGCAGTCACAGTTTAAATCCATTCTGTTGTTTAATCCAGCAGCCGCCCTGTCACGTTCTCACGAACGTAGTTTTTTACCTTAGACCATCCTAGTTCAATTGGGCTGAGGTCACACATATATGGAGGCAACCTAACTACAATGTGACCATGGGCGTTTAGTAACTGATCAATTTTGAAAAAAAATTCTTTTGGTTTCCTTGTCAGTATTAGGTCATACAGCTGGCCTTTTTTCACAGCTGGATCACAGAAAACTCAGTGCCTCTGTAACCATGAGATCATTTCAGATTTAACCGAATATTTTGATGGTGCTTTATCTGTTTGTACACTGTGGTACTACCACTGAACTGGGCGGCAAATTCTGTAACATTTTCTCTCTAACCCACTTTTCAAAATTTGTACTGTTCGTCTGACCATGGTAGTCGCCACTTGCCGAGCAAACTTTATATATCAGTCCCACACCTTGAAGTAAACCAGCACGCGATCCAACGTGAACCATAATCAGTCTTTTCCCAGCATTTCCATCAGAGCATTCCCCTTTAAATTCCGTACTTTGCCAGCACTTTTTTGAAAGTTAAATTGCTGTCTGCCCAGCTTTCATCTAGGTAGAATATTTGTCTTCCTTCATTCCTTCATATTCACTAAATACCTCGCTCGCCAGTTTACTATGTCCGGCCTTCCAATCAAGGTCTTCCACTTAAACCCTAAGTTATGTAAAATATTCCGTAGAGAATCAACACCCCCATGGAAAGTAATTTTTTTGTTTAATTATGGGGAGTAGCTTGGGGCAGCTTGGTACTTTCTTTCGTATTGCGTAAAATTCTTGCACAGTCCGCCTTATCACTGATATGTCAGTAGGTCTAGGCCGGTGTTTCCCTGGCGTGTGCCCTTCTCGTCTGTATCTTTTGATTCTCGCCTTACCTTCTTAATTAAAGCCTTAGGTACACCCGCATATCTGGCTGCCCTGTCTGTTGCACGAGTCAAGGTTAAATTTTAGATCTTTCCGTCTTTCTTCCTCATCACACAGCTTCCCTGTGAATAGTCTTCCCCTGTTTACGTACACTCGACATCTTTAAATCACCTGTGATTGATCTATTGAATGTTAAGTAGGGCAAGGCAGGGGAAATCCGGGTCAGAAGGCTACGCTGACCTAGGCTGGAACAGGAAGGAGTCCGGCTAAATGCCTGTGAATTGATTACAAATGTGAGCTAATGGCCGACTAATTGAATGTAAACACGATTTCGCATAAAATTCTACAAAAATCCAAATAACACGTAGTACACAGCAACTTTTGATTACCATGCTAAGTTGTGGAAATATAAATAGGCACGAATCGATATTGTTTACTGTTGCTAGGCAATAAGCATTCCAGCTTTCGGTTGTGAAAATACACCAAACGTTAACTAATTTTTGAACGCATTATCCATAGAGTTAAAAACAATAACGTGCATACCGATTATACCATTTTGTTTTACTACAGACTGGATGTAATTATACATGGATAGTGGAAGGGTTTTCAGGCAGAATTTGCGGAGGCCTATGCCTACTGCCCCCAAGAGGATTTTACGTAGAGTTGTACCAGCGTTTACCATCCAGACCCTGCAGGAAAATATCACCGTACAACCTCTGCCTAGACCCGATGCTTCCTTGAAGAGATCACCAAAACTAGCGACAAAGTTCAGACGATTCTACACGTGCGGAGACTTCCCAATAGCAACAGTATTTGATACTCGTGGCATCAAGGTAGCATGGAAGGTAGGATTTATGTCGCCTGAGCTCTGGGCACAATCCCTGAGCTGCCTCTCTTCACTGTGATGTGGTTCTTTATCATTCATTTGTTCGTTTATTTTGCAATTCTTCAAAAACTGTTGATGTTATGCAGAGTTTACTGAGATAATAAAATGATTACGTAGCTATGACTCGGTACTATCCCAACATTCAAGTGGAATAACTGAGAAAACCACAAGAAACATTAAAGATTCGAAGCCGGCGTGTTGTGCCTAGGCGAATTAGAACTTCCTTTATCTAGTGAAGAATGTGCCACGAGATGGCCACGTTCGCCAGCATTTTATTCCTCACACCCTACCATTTTCATTAATCCTAACATTAATCTTTCAGTCCTGACTCGTTTGGGAAACATTGGTGTAGCTTCATTAAGTAACTAAGGAAATAAACATTTGTGAATTCTACACCAGCGGCACAAATAATAACCTACCGAGATATTACCTTCACCAACCCATTGCTCATTTAATCACACCACGCAGTATAAAAATTAGGAGTTCAATATCTCAGCTCTTGTACTGTTTGGTTAGGAAAATTGCATCTCATTCACATAAATAGAATACTAACAATAATGTTGCATGAGAAGCTTCATAATTTGCATTCGTCACAAAATATTATTAGAGTGAAAAATCAAGGAGGCTAGGACATGTAGCATGAATGCCAGTGATGAGAAACAAACTCCATGGAGCAGGGTTCTTCTTGATAAGTCGATAGTATAGTCAGCTGGTCAAAAGATTTGCTGCCTTTCATGGAACCTGAAGGTTCATTGCTGTTCACAGTAGCCACTATCATGAACCAGACAAATCCAATCCACAACTTCGAACACTTTTCTTAAAATTAATTTTAATATTATCCTCCAATCTACACCCAGGTCTTCTGACTGGTTTCTTCAGGTTTTTTAATCAGAATTCTGTCATGTCTCATCTACCATATGCATACTACATGCCCACCCCATGTCATCGTGATTTCATAACCTTAACATTTGGGGAAGAGTACAAATTACGGACCTCCCTACTACGGTTCTCGCCACTTTATCCCTTGTACGTCCAAGTATTCTTGTAAGCACCCTGTTCTCAAACACCCTCAATGACTTCTTCCCTTGAAGACCAAGTTTCACACCCACATAAAACAACAGGTGAAATTCAAGTTTCAGTTTATGCATCATCAGATAGACAGGACGACAAAAGATTCTAAACTGCATGGTGGCAATATTTTGAATAAGTGTAAGAATTTCTTTTGACAGCTATTCAGTTTAGCCGCCAGTACCCGAGCCTAGGTCATTTGAATGTCAGACTGCTATTGGAAGAAAAAGAAATCACGAGATACGGTTCAAATTAAGGCTGAACTTATCCAAGCGTGAAGTAATACATTCCATTCCAAGGTCCAAAACTTATTAATTCTATTTGGAACAAGAAAGAACTGCCAGCGCAATGGAAGGAATCTATTATAGCACTTATTTATAAGAAAAGTTATAAAACCGACTGCAGTCATTACCACGAAATATCACCATAATCAACTACATACAATATAAAATAAGTAAACTAACAACTATTAACACTACAAAAAGACACTATTACCATACGCGTTTCAACCTCAAGAGGTCATCATCAGTGGCATCTCGGAAATTAATTCATTTAATCAAAAGGTTTAGAAATAAATAAGGTGTTTCACAAAAGTTTTTTCAAACGATACTGCATTAGATGTTGTTATTCACAGAGTAGAACTATGCACTTAGCTATTGATCCGATGGTTCGGTAGCCGTAGATGGTCTGCGGCGAGCTGTGGTGTTCACAGGTACGGACAATTACAATATGTTTATATAAAACATGTAAACGTATAAAGATTTCTGTCTTCTGGGTTGTTGCACCGTGTAGTCTGGTCAATGCTAACCAACGTTTCAGGGGTCATACTGTATCAAATCTTACATGTAAACATATAATTTTACTGGTTCTTTGCACGAGTGTGAAACTTGGTTCCTCAGATTACGGGAAGAGTACAAATTGAAAGGGTTTGAAAGCAGGCTGCTGAGGAGAATATTTGTATTGCAGAGGGATGAATAGCAAAAACTGAATGAGACACTTCATAATTCACAGTTAGTAGACATTTATTCAGATTTGTGAGGAACAATATATACTGAACGAATAAACCATCAATACCAAGGTTTTACTGTTAACTGTCATTAAACACATTAAATTGACATAACTAGTAGGATGAAGTTGCTACTTCTCAGTTCAAAATATTTTGTCTTCCCGTCTGATTTCTAAGAACCTGAAAATTAAAGTGTACAAAACAATAATTTTTCCTGTTGTTTTGTATGGGTGCGAAACATAGTCTCTCACTCTGAGGGAGGGACACAGATTGCAGGTGTTTGAGAACAGGGTGTTGAGGAGGATATTTGGGCCTAGAAGAGAAGACAATGGGGTCTGGAAAAAACTGCATAATGACAAACTTAAACATTTGTACCCCTCCCCCAGTATTGCCAAGGCGATTAAGTTGAGAAGAATGAGATGGGCGGGGCATGTAGCGCGCATGGATGGGACAAGGTGTGCACCAGGTATTGGTTGGGAAGCCTGAGGGGAAGAGACCGCTGGGGAGACCTAGACGTAGATGGGAGGATAGGAGTTGAAGGGGACTGGATTTTCTTGGCCCAGGGTTTTGGTTAATTCGGTGATGAACTTTCGGGTTTGGTAAGCCTTCTAGTTAGTTAGTAGGATGAAGTTCTCACTGTGGTGAGTAGGAAGACTGACATCTTCTGCTTGTAGCACCATGTAGTTTGTTCAAAGTTTACCAATGTTTAACAGGTCTTTGCTGCCTCTATCAACAGGGCAGTGGAGGCAGGAAGGTCCTCTGAAATGTTGAAAAACTTCTACCAGACTAAACAATTCTACAACCCAGAACACAGGCATCTTTATATAATTTGTTTAACATATGCTTTTTGTCATACTGTAACAGAGCACTGCATTAATAATAAAATAAGCCTGACTTCAACGCAGCTTGAACTCAAGACTTGTAGGATTTGAGGTTTTCACGGCGGTAAGTCTGAAGATGGCTTGTTTTGTTTTTAACTGCAATCTTCCACTCAACAAAGCAATTTATATTTATGTAGAATTACTGTAATAAGATTACATAAAGAAACTGCTGAAAATACATCAGTGTTATCAGACATCTTTGATTTAATGCTATAGTGAATGTTCATGCAAGTAAGCTAAAATTCATTCATGCAACTTGTCAGTACAGTGACCAGGCTGCAGGCTGAAAAACCAGGGTTTTATTCCTGGCATGGGCAAGAGATTTTATTCAGATTAACCTCTGGTTCCCACTGAGCCTCCTCTCTAAACATTAGTGAATGAGCTTTCCCTAGGGGTAAATTGCACAGGACATAAAAACAACCTCTCACCTCTACCTAGAGCCAAAGTTAAAAAAGAGCAGAGTTATACCTCCATGGCCCTAAACATTTCCATGGTGTGAAACTCAGTAATTACCACGGACAAGTTTACCTTTGCTTGCAACTCTTTTTCACGCTTAACCAAGAAATTATGCAAACTTTCCTTATACTTATCCAAGAAAATAAAAGATGTATTTAAACAACTTTTTTCCCAGCTATTTATTGAGATAAGCTCAAAAGATTATTTATGCTCTTATGTAAAGTGGTTTTTAAAATCGTCCAATCTACACAAAAATTGAAATCATCTACAACATGGTGTAAAATTCTCCAATATCAAATTTAATCACAACAGCTTTATCTTTTCTTGAGTTGTTTCACATGTAGTGATAAACCAATGTAGGAATTTTAATAGGTGCACCAGGGTTGCAAACACACTAAAATACAGCACATTTTCTTCAGTCTTAAAAAAACATATACTGATCATGATACAAAATCATCATTTCAACTACTCTCAAAATAATTTCTCTGCCAGGTAGAAATTGAAGAACTTAATTACCACAATCACCTTCCAAAGTTCTTCGAAGGACTCTGCGAAACAGTGCATCCATATAAGTTCTTAGCACAACAAGGGATCCATGACATGTTGCAGAATGGTGGCCCCAAGATCCTGCCCGTCATCCCACAGCTCATCGTTCCTATCAAGAGTGAGTTCAAACATCACACTCCGATTTTTAAAATAAGATACATATCAAATCAGGCCAAAAAACGAAAATAGGGCCCACAGTGACAGTGATGAAACAGAAGTTTGTTTCCACTCTGAATTAAATAAACATTCTCCATTCACCATTATCTGATATTTACTTATTCCAGTAGCTTGAAAGTAGAATGATTGACAATTTTCATTAATGATAATAGAGGCATAATTAATGTGTTAAACGCTTTCTTCCAATCCTAGATATCTTCTTTCCTACACACCCAGACTCAGTACCTAAACTAATTATTATGTGCACAGTGACTGAACCTGCTCATGTACTTTGAAACAGAGTGTAATCACAACACAGGTGATAAAACTTGTCACCATATTTTTAACAACAAACAAAAAGATGATATTTAAATTCATTTAATAATTGTAACATGCTTCAGTAATTCATTATCATCTTCAGTTTGTTGTAGACACGTAATAGAAGCATTTGAGCAAAATTAATTGTATAAATACAGCTGTTTCTTTATAATTTATACCTTAATGTGATTAGTATCTTCTTAATGCTAATCCAGTCAATTAAACTTCCCCAGGACATAAAGCTGATCACACACCTCCAAGTAGCACTAAAATTGTAAATGTATGGAACTATACCTCCAATCTGTTATATGACTTCGTAGTGTGATACTCGATTAAACTCAGAGACAAATTTGCCTTCAACACCTTCAGTTCATATTTATTATGTGAACCAGATATGTGCTAATTCACAGCCACTGGAATGTACCAGAATGTCTGATTCAAAAGTGTTCTTTTTTGTTTGTTCATTTGTAACAGATGCTCTGAACACCAGAAATCCAGAGATAGTATGCGCCACACTCAAAGTGATCCAAAGTCTGGTTATGTCAGCTGACATGGTGGGGAAGGCCTTGGTACCTTACTACCGACAGATTCTGCCCATTTTCAATGTATTTAAGAATATAAATGGTGAGTATGAATATTAATACTCTAATGGCAAAAGTTATTTAATCAACTGCTGGAAGACAATTCTGCAGTTGTAATCTATACACTGTCGATAAAACTTTTATTCCACTTGTAAATAATAAAATTAAGAGATTCATGATTTTTTTTTTCAAACTTTCAAATTATAAGAAAGTATGAAACAATAGCTGCCTTTAATAACAACAGCCAGGTAAAATATTGCAGTTTTAGGCTGTGGCCACACGACCGTTCAAAGTACGGCAGTTGTAACGCACATCGTGACGTCCGTTACAACGGGCGTACTTTGTACGGTCGTGTGGCACCCAGCCTAAGATGGAGTCCATCATCATGCACAACTGTTGTAATGCAATATTTGCACACTGCATGTTTCACTGTACTACATTATCCCTCCAAACTGTTTCCAGCATCAGTAACAGAGAAAACAATGTAAAATTCTGAAATGTGTGAAAACTGAACTGGAAAACAATGAACATTGTGCCCAAATGGTCAATCTTCCTTTTACTGGAAGTTCCAAGTTAATATCTTGGCTTGGATACTATTGTCCGCGAGGAACGAGAGTAGATCTGACATCTTCGAGGTAGGTGGGGTAGAATTCTGTGCTACTAGTGGACTGAAAAACGCCCGCAGCTTATACAGGCCGTACGTCGTGAGCTAATGTACTGACTCACTGATAGCACAATGTTCTTAGGTAAGGAATACATCACCAGCACCACAGAACCCACTTTCCCCCTGCCACACAAGCAACGGCTGACAAGGCCACGTCTACTCTCATGCCTCACGGACAATAGCTATCCTGACAAAAGGTGTTCCTGGTTTTCCTCAGTTTGTAACACAAATGTCAGGATGGTAGCAAGCATTAAGCCATGGAAGCTTCCTCTCAAAGAATTTGCTATTCCGTGTTCATCAATCATCTGACACGTATAAATGCAGAAATGCTAACACTGTATGCCTCCCTTTCTTTATACATTAATAAAGTGGACTACAATGTTTCAGTTGTTACATAACACACCAATGAGAATAAGGCCCGTTACATAGTCGAGCGGACGCTCCGTCCTCCGCTCTCCGCATGTGGATAGGCAAGTTTACACAGTGCCGCGGAGGTTCATCAGTTTGTCGTAGAAAATGGATGAATACAGACTGAAAGTAATAGTTGTGTACCACATATATAAAATGAGAAAACAATGGAAAAATAGAAGATATTATGTACATCCTATAGTTGCTCAAAGAAGTTTGAAAGGCGCTTTCACGACATTATACATGGATTTTCGTGAAGATAGTGATAAGTTTTTTAACTATTTTCGCATGTCAATTAAATCCTTTGATGAACTCAAAGGGAAGCTGGAATCCAAATTAAGTGTTTCCAGTTTGAACAGGGTATCCATATCTCCAATAGAAAGACTTGCTGTTACATTAAGGTAAGTAAAGAAGACCAATTATCACTTAAAAGAGTTTTATTATTACAGTTATTGCTTATTATTATTATTATAATTATTATTTAATGCATATGATCTCTGTTATTCACTGATGTTGGGTGATATGGAAGTAGAACTCCAGAATGAAACTGTGTCATATGGTGATGATGTGATTTCTTCTGCATTTGCACTGAGACGAGGTGGGTGTTGTCGAGAAGAAATTTGAGGAGGCTGCTGATTAAAAGATGATTGTGGCTGAGGTGAAATTTGTGCGGGCTGCTGATCATAAGATGAACGTACTGGACGGGAGAATGGTTGGTTTTGATGATGGACAGGCATTTGTCTGGTTTGCGGATAAGTGATATATTGGTTACCATATGGACGCACAGGATTTTGAGAATATGAAGGAATCTGGAAACAGCTGTCCTGATTTTTAATGCGCATAAGTATATTCAATACTTCTGATCAAAACTTGAGTTTTTTATCATTGTTGAATGTTTTTAAAGTCGGCAATATTGATTTTAGGAAGGTTTTGTCTTCATCATCTTCTCTTTCTATGTTTTCCTCTAGTATCTTCAGTAAAGCTTCCTCAAATTTGTTTAGAAATGAAATGATCCGTCGCACGTTGTCCGCTTGACTATGCAAGTTACAACTTGTTCAATGGAATTAACTGACGCGGAGACGGAAGGGCCACGCGGACGACTCCTCCGCGCGCAGGCCGCTCCGTCGAATCGTGTAAAGTCACATAAAGAACAAGGTAACTTATCCGCATGTGGAGAGCAGAGGACGGAGCGTCCGCTCGACTGTGTAATGGGCCTAAGGCTTAGCACGTGAAAGGTTAACAGAAGGTTCAATCTGACTATGGGTAACAAACCTCTACTTGTTCAACAAGGAGACAAATTTTGTGATGTCATTACAGTGAATTTGGGAGATGGAATTGATTACACACAGATGAATCACGAAAATGTAGGTGACCTTGTTCAAGAAACACTTGAGATATTGGAGCGATATGGTGGTGAGGATGCTTTCATCAACATCAAGAATATGGTGCCAACCTATGAGTCCTGTATACTCAACTGATCAGCACTGCTCCTCAAAACAGGCATTATAAGATGCCAAAATGACTTTGAAATCTTCAGCTATTCAATATATGCAAGTTGTAAAAAATATTCATTATACTATTATATTTTGAAATATCAAGACTCTTTTGCAAACATTAATTTGTCCAATTGCCATAGACTGGTCTGTGAATTGGACTTTGAGAAACGGTGTTTTACCCGCCAACAAACAATTACAATATTATAAAGCTTAGCAGAGGTATGGCTAAAAGTGTCCGTGCACGGTGATGGCGATCACCCTGTCAACGAAGGCAGCAAGGACCTCTAAAATGTCAGTAAACTTCTACCAGACTACATGGTGCATAAACCAAGAAGACAGCCATCTTCAGACTCACCACCGTGAGAACCTCAAATCCTATACAGTATTCTAAATGTTGCACAATAAAGCAAGATGTACTTTTACTAATTATAATTTGTTGTTTCTGCAAAATTAAACAAGTCCTGATGATGGCTGGCTCCATTATCAGGGTAATAATCAGACTCACTGCCGTGAAATCTTCAAATCCTATTAAACAAGTCCTCATATATCTTCCACAGCTCATTACTGCGTTCCAACTTGTACTTTGAAATACCACAAAATTGTGCATATACTCTATACAAGAAGTTTACCAAATGTAAAGTAACTAAATATGAACATGTATTCAAATACAGTTTATAGCCTTGTTCATAACAGATTACAAGTGGTTCGGAATAATATCCAATGGCAGGGTTTTGTGAACACAGTAATGAACCTTCAGGTTCCACAAAAGGTGGAGAATTTCTTGGCCAGCTAAGGGACTATCAGCTTCTGAAGCATCCTGTTCCAAGTTAATACTAGATATCTGAGATCTGACATTCTCATTGCAGTCTAGATGATATTCTTCTAGGTGACACCATGTACACTTGCAAGTTGATACAATAAATAACACAAACAATACATTCAGGTCTACAAACACAAATAAATATCTGTATAAAAATTAAGAAATGTTCTGAAGTATAAATATGCCATGGGGCATTAGTACGTTAACCATAAAAGTGCATTCAAAAAGCTCAATAAACATTTCTATGCCAAAAGAACCTGAATAACGGAAGTAATGCACAGCTGAAAATTCTCTAAGTTCCAAAATAATATCCAAACAATGTAACCTGAATGCTGACTATCATGGATGAACCGTACTAAGACGACTCCTTCAGTAGAAGTAGATGGCAAACACAACTGTCATGCAAAATATGGATTCCTGAAATACAGAAAAATAAGGTTAAGATGGAACCGTGATTTAAATGCCATCAAATCCATAATTCTTCTCAGTATTTATCTTATCTTTGTATGTGTATTCCAAAGTATCTTCCTACATCCTAATATTTTGCAGTTTCTTTGGATTCTACTGAAACTTATATTTTCAACATGTTCCTTCACTTTCTCCAAAAATGTTGCATAAAATCTAAGATTATGGATATACATAATTAGGTCGCTAACAAGGGGTAGTGAAATGTCTCAACACATGCCACTTACTAAATGTCATCTTTTACGTACCCCATTTCAGCTCATGTGGCTGATTCCTGTATGATGGTAGATTAACCATTATGCAGGCATAAAACCCATCTAAAGGCTCTAAAGGCAGGAACCTTCCTACAGTAGGACCTGCCACTTACTGATTAGTAACCATCCGGTGTCATTTCTTATTGCTTTGAAGGTGATTTGATTTTCCACTTTGCTGAAGACACATGTAAGCTTGGAAGGTTATGAAAAACATTATAAAAACAGGATACGCTGTCACTGTCTCCATGCAAGCTGAAACTGTACTGTACAGGGCAAGTCTAAATGATGTTCCCGATTTGAAAGACATGCTACTTACGTTTAATGAAATTCAGATGCACAAAATTGGTACCGATGGAAAGAGAAACTCTCCAAGTTTATGTTGGTATACTTCGCGGCCACGTAGTAACACAGTTCACCGCCAGGGGCGATATGAGAGAAAATGGCTGCCATCGAAGACAGGTGAGCCTTTTGTGTCCTGGATTTCTACGTTCACCGGACCTGACGCCCTGTAATTTTTTTCTGTGGGGGTTCGTCAAAGATAGAGTCTTCGTGCCACCCTTACCACAGACCTTGCTAGATCTGCGAGCGCGTATCACAGCAGCCATTGCAGCAAT